GCAGCGTGAGCAGAGAAGAGAGTTGGGAGAAGTAGGAAGGTACTTTCAAAGCTATTGCCATAAACCTACCGATAGCCAGGAGGATTATTGCAGTGTCTTCTGGAGAGAGTCACTAAACATCCAGATCATCATTTTTCCAAGCAGCCTTTCTCCCCTTACATTTTCCAGCATCATTTGCTACATCAGTATCTTTTACATCCTCTTCATTGGCCCCATCAAAGTGATTCCAGCTTCTTTTCTTAATTGGTTTTTGCCATATCCTTCTTATGCCCATCCTGTCTTCTTAAAGCCTCCCTCTCACCCCCAGTAATTCTGCTTGTCCCTGAGTTCTCTAGTCTGGCTTCCTCTGTGGGTCCTTGTCCTGACCCAGGCAGACTCCTGGGTTGCCTTGCCTGCAGTGACTAGTAGGGCCCGGGCCGTGTTTCACTGGGTGTTCTTCGGTGTTTGCTTGCTGAGTCTGAAATCAAACCTGGCTGTGAGCAGTTAAAGGGGGCCTGGCTTCATTTTTTTCTCCAATATTTGGAATATGAAAGTACATTATTATATTTCATGTAAAAAGGGTTTTCTCCTGTTCTCTTTAGTGGAAGTCAAAGTATTTCTTAAACGTGTTTTGTAAATTTCCACGTTCACGAAATAAGTTGATTTAGCAGACATAAATTAGAAGTTTTACGTATTTCTTATATCGCACATCTTAGGGGGGTACCTTGTGAATATTTTTATGATGCTTTATTTTGGGCTTTCCAGACTGAACAGTCAATATAGCTATGATGCTATAGCAATCAAATCCTTATATTCTAATTGCCTTGTAAAATGTGTCATCACTGGTGTGATAGCTCACTAAACGCTGCAGGCAGATAATCGAAGTGTTTGACAGTGCCTGTCTTGGTTTGATGCTGTTAGGGTGGTGTCACTGGGAAGAAAGGGGTGGTTCCCTGCCACCATCTGTATGGCAGCATACCATTGTTCTGGAGAGAAAGAACACTTGCCCATCATGGTTGCAGCCCCTTGGCCATTTGATACGTGCTGTGTTGAAAGTCACGGACTGCTTGTGACAGTCGCTGCCTATGAGAGAGGAGGTGGGTCTGGCCTGCCTTCCCCTTGTGTGTGTGAGTTAAGGGTAGGTTTCTGTCCCTGTTGTGAATCCTGCCAACAGACTCTTTCAGTGGTATGCTTTGAGCTTCTTGGAACATTTTATGAAAACATTGCCTTCTCTGTCTGCCCACCAGTTCCAGGATCTTTACCCACCTCAAACCCAGGCCGTGTGAATTAGCCAAGTTTTGTTTGAGAGGAGGTTTAGGATGTTTGGCTGGACTCGAAGCAGAGCCCTTCCTCTTACAAGGATCTAGGAACAAAGAACCCTAATGCAGTAGGAGAGTGAGGAGAAATACGGAGTCTCCCCCTTGCTCACCTTTATTTCTATCATAAATTTTAATTGTAACATTGGAAGATACAAAAAGCTGCCAAATGGTGTATGATTAATAAAATATGGCTGTATTTGCTATATCCAGATGCCCTAACTTACCATCTTGGTTCTCTAGCAAACAATGCTTCTCGAACCTTGCCTTGTCACTTGGGACCTTCTGTCTGCCAGAAACTACCATTGAGGCAAGTGAGTTTTCTGCCCAAAGGGCTTTTGCAGCTCCCCTCTCAAGGCAAGTCTGCCTATTTTGTCCATTTTTATGCTTAGGAACATCCGTTGTACATTTCTGAAGTATTTGAGCCTTAGGAAAGTTCGTAAAAACCTCTCAGCTGAGTCAGTGAATCTTTGAAGCCCAGGAGAGTTACACTCAATTTTCAGCAGAAAAATGTGGGACAAGCTCACATGTAGGATATTAAGAGGAATTCCATAATGCGTTCCTTCCGGCCCCGCGTTGTGCATTTTTTGAGTTAGCCCCTGGTGGAGTTGGTTTCCCAGGTGTTGGCCCTTCGTGCTTCCTCCACCAGCCTGGTTCACTGCCCCTTAGAGAAAGGAACCATGAGCAGCCAGAACAGTCTGACCCTGTGTTTATCGGTGTCTTGTTTTGAAGAACTGGGGTGGGAAAGTGGTGAGATTTTTAAAGTAAAGGAGAGAATCAGTTCTGGAACTGGAGTGCTTTGCTTCAGATACAAGGATCTGTCCTGAACATACAGAAACAGCTGCTTCACATGCAAATGGGTCCGTACCGTTTTTACTGGCAATGAGAGCTGCTTTCCACATACCTAACCAGAGTCATCCACATGGGGGCTGGCACCACGGAAAGAGAACCCCCAGAGCTTCCCAGCTGCTTCTGGGCACGGTGTTCACCAGGCCAGGCACAGGTAGGCAATGTGAGTCCCCAACCCCAAAAAGAGGTGGGAGGAGAGAGGTGTCCAGACATGCCTTTTCTCTTCTGCCATACCCCAAGAACCCAAGGAGACCTTTCAGGTGATGTCTTTGTTTATTAAAGTGGAAGAAGAACTTCACCCCACTAAGTTTCGCTTGTGATTGTCTCTTATGCTGTCTCTTATTAATTCAGATCTGTACCGCACTGCTGTCCACACACGTGTTTCTGACCTTAGTCTAACCCTTCTCAGCACCTGAAGTCACTGTTTTGTTTTGTTTGTTTTTAAGGCACTAGTGAATGAGAACCTAAAGTCTTAGAAAATCCTACTTGAAAAGGAGTTTCTAAACGGCATGGTTTGATTTCTTTACCTTTCCCCCTGAAGACTTGAATGATTTTCTTTCCTAGTGCTATATAATAGGTCTGTGATAAGTGAAACCTTTGCTGCTGCTCTTCTGGGTTTACGAGTTTTCTCCTTCCCTTAAGAATAATTTATCTGTGCTTTTCTGGTGACTGTTAATTTCTAGTAAGTGCAGGGAGGGATGAGCCTGAGATTTCTTCTCTTACTCCCCTCCCACTCTGAATTACACACTGACCTCTACCGACTTCTGTAGGATGGGGCTCATCAGAAGCTACTTGTATTTTTTCTCAAACTCGTTGGCAGCTCTTGGAGCTGGCCCCTGAGGCTCTGTGGCTGCCCAGTACTGAGAGTTACTTCTTAATTTTGCCTTTCTCCATTCCTGTTTTATGACTCAGCCTTCAGGTGCCTCCCACTCTGGTTGCCTCTGTTTTCCTCCCAGGAACCACTTCCAAGTAACCTGCCTTGGGCATTTCCCTGCTGCTCTCCCCCCTTTTTCCCTCACTTGCAGTGGTCCCGAGAGCACAGACCTGAGAAGGGGGCCTGCACGGTGCTCAGAGCACTGTGAGGACCGGTCCCTGCCCGGCAGACTGCTTTGCGACAGAGATGGATGGGTACATGGTGCTGTGGGAGACGTTTGTGTCTTCAAACCAGGCTCTTTCACCCACCCCCTCCTCCTGCTCGTATGGGCCCCCTCTGATCCCAGCCCTTGAGGGAGAAAATGCAGAGGACATTGACTGGGAGTGTCTGATCCCAGACATTGTCGTCTGGCCTAGGCCTCCCCCAGCCCTTCGGCCTGCCCTGGAGTTCCTCAGAGTGTGGGCACCGCGGCTCACTGTCTCCACCAGGCCTGCCCAGCGCTTAGCCAGCCAGTCCCTGGGACCAACACAGTCCCCTACCTGGTGACTTAACACCAGGTTCCATCAGCTTTCCAAGTGACTGTTTCCACCCAATACTTTTGGCACTTGAGATTGCGGGGGAGGGAGCGTGATTCAAAATAAAATCCAAGGTGGCAGTAGAGGATTCCTTCTGCTTTAAAATCTTCGGACTAAAAAGAAATGTTTTTATATATAAATATATAAATTGTTATGTAACTATTATTGTTTCCTGTATGTTCTAATTTTGTTTTATGATGTAATTAAAGGAAATAAGCTGTGAAGACTTTTCATTTTGCTGCGGAAATAGCCTGACTTGGAGCTGTGATTCTTAACCTTGAACCCTAGAACTGCAGAGGTCCTGAGGTGGAATGAAGGGGCTTCTTTTGGCATCCTTATATTTTTAAATATTACTTAACTAATAATCTTTATTTAATAGTTTATTAGTAACCTATTTTAATACCTTGAACTTGTCTAAGAAAAACAAAAGACATATAAATCAATTTCTGAACATTTTTGTCTTATTCTGATACTAACAATTCAACCTGAGTCCCTTACCTGCGCTGAGGGTTGCCCTTACCCCGGCTAGGAAGGAAGGAGCGCGGATGGGGCAGTGAAGCGGTTAGACACACCAGCTCCCGCGTCCCGTCACCCGGCTTCCACCCACTGTTCCATTTCACTGTTAAAGTCGGAGTAACAGTACTTAGAACTGTGACGATTGAAAGAGCTAATAATGGCATGTTGTAAACCCATGTTACCTGCTTTTATTCACTTCATTTCAGCGAGTAATTTCAGTGTCGGGTCTGTGTTAAAAGCTCCCAGGTTGAGAGTTGCATGGAGGTTAATGATGTGGGGGTCCCTATCCTTTTGGTGAAGGTGCACAGTGGAGCCGAACCTGCAACCTGAACTTAAACCTCAGGGTGTCTGTCCTGCCAGAAACACCCCTGGACAGCCCTGTGGGCCAATAGGCCCTGCTTGAATCTACTCATCCTGCATGAGGTAAAGGCCCAGTGCGAACTGGTCACTTAGGTGAGGCCAACCAGGTCCCTTCCAGGGAGACAAGCAGGTGCCTACTCAGTTTTCCATATCGAATCATCCCTGAATGTTGAGGGAGGCACTTAGTAGGTCTCCAGGGATAAGGAGACTTGCCCTTCCCCATCCATTCTTAATTAGTTCAGCCAGTGTTTAGAGCCAGCCTCCTTTCCAGCCTCCCTAGCCAGAAGCTTTCTGGTTTAAAGCTCACCGAAGATGGTCAGTAAATGATAATTATTAATAATAAGGAGTTAAGCAGGTAGTCTTTAAGAAGGTGCCTTGGCCTCTTTTCTGCTGTGTGTGTGCGGTTTTTCCCATTTCTGTATGTTTGAAACTTTTTATGATAAAATTTTGAGAGAAGGGGGTGAAAAGGAAGAGTAAGGTATGGTCTGGTATCACTTTAAAAAGCATTTAATATAAAATTTTCTACTTAGAAAAATATACACCAGAAAATCAGTTTCAGATGGATTACATATCTAAAAGTAAAATGCAAAATTAAAATGTAAACTTTGAAAAAAGTTTGCATTTATGACCTTAATGTAGGGAAAGACTTCTTAAGACCTATAAATAAAAAGATGAATAAATTCAATTACATTTTAAAAATAAAATCCTATGGCCTCAGTGTTCAAGAATAGCTCTGGTATTTCCCAAATATCTGGAACCACAGTCAAACAAGCACAGTGATTTGGTAGTTGAATGGTCTTTTGGAGGCTGCAGTGAATAGTTTTTGCTGAAACTAATTAGTGAATAGTTTTTGCCGAAACTAATTGAAAAAAGTACATCAGCCACCGTTATTTATTCCTTTGTCCCAGACTCCATCCCTCGCCCTAGTCTACGGTTTCGGCAGAGGATGTTCTCCAAGAGGACCATTCCACCCAGAAACTTGAACAAGCATTTAGTGTGTGTGTGTGTGTGTGTGTGTGTGTGCGCGCGCGCGCGCGCTCGCACGCGCACACACACGCGCACATTTGCAAAAATGAAAGGGGCAAGTAAAATTTTAAACACAAAGTAAGGGGCAGAAGTTCATCAAATCCATTTCCTGCGTTTTTGCCCCAGGCCTTGGCCAGCTCCGCTCCTCCGGGAGCTGCCGGCTGCCTCCCCAGGGGAGGGATGCAGGGTGGTTTGGCTCTTCACCTGGAGTGGAGCCTTCACCTGGATTTTCTGGTGAGCACGGCCCAGGAGAACCAGGCTGGTGTTGGTCTCCACTGCAGCAGGGCACCCCTGGGCCTAGGCCAGGACCAGGTAGTAGCCATCTGGATTCTGCACTGAAAGCAGTAGAACGGGCACCGCTGGGTTGGGGCTGGCCCCCAACCACCACCGCTGCACCGCAGCGTGCTTCCACACCCAGCCGTTCTTTCAAACCCATGTTTTTTAGGGAGCCGCCTGTGTGCCCTCGTGTCATGGTTTGGGGGGGCAGGGGGCTGGCATCCAAATACCCAGAACTACCAGCTGACTGGTCAGCAAGCACCTGCTCTCCTGCCCTGTGTGGTTGTTGCAGGTTGGGTGGGGCAGAAGAGAAACGGGGTCTTCCTTTGTGATAACAAACTCCCTAACAGGGAAACTGGGGCACTTTTTCCCATCATGAGAATGCATTTTTTTCCAGTCACGGTTTTCCTGAGCAATAAATAGCTTTTAGCTATATGAATCCGTCCCTTTGACAAAAAGCTAGCATCTCCTAAAACCCCTACCTTTCTTCACCACAGCCACAAAGTATGATTCATCCTTAAGATTCTGAACCACCTGCAAGGGAGAAAGGGTCGCTAGGATAATTTGGTCCTTGTAGCCAAACAGAATAAGCCAGGGTGGGGAGAGGGAAATGTGAGCCAGGCCCCCCGTGGGTCCTTGTAGGGAACTGCCATCCCTTTACCTGGTCGCTGAGGAGAATGAGAATCCCCCCAGGGCCCTGGTGGAAGAGGCGGTGGATCTGATTGGCCGGGAGGGCCAAGAGCTCTGCCAGTTTGCCCATCAGCTCTATGGCACTGAGTTCATCCAGAGAAATCTCTTGATAAAAGCCTGGGATGTGAGCGACACAAGGGCAGGGGGTTAGTGAGGGATTCCAGGGGTGGCCCCAGATACCAGGAGGATGTGGGGGTGAGGGGAAAGAGTGAGGAAGGAAAAAGGCTTTGAATCCACTTAGTCTCCACCTATTCCTCATCTTTGGGGAGGCCTCAGAGTGAGGGGAGCCCCCAGTTGATAGAGGAGATGGGACATCTACATATGACTGAAGCCCAAGTATACTAAAAGGATTAGAGTGTTCTAATGGGGAGCAAATCCCACGTAAAAATATAGCGACAATCAATGGGGTTGGGGAGAAAACACGGAGGAATAAAGCCAGCAAGACATCCTGGGAAGGGCTAATCTTGTCGTGGGAAGCAGGGAATCCTAAGGAGGGCACTGTGGGTCCCAAGAATGGTGGGCCATCACTCTCTCCAAGCCAGAAGGGGTTTCATTCAGCCACACCTGAATTTGTTCTTGAAGAGAAGAGTCCAGGACCACCTGAGTCAGGGTTCTTAGAAACCTCATTCTCTTGCCTAGAGGCCTCCTGAGCCACATATAAAGTCAGCCGGTGACGGATGGGCCTGGGCCAGGAAACAGTCAAGTATCAGCCTTTCATACCTGAACCAACAGGGGGAGCCCTTTGAAACCCTGAGACTGGAACAGACCCCGCCTCCTCCCAGGTCTCCAGGGAGAAAAAACATGAAGCATTTCTCAAGCATTTAATGAATGCTGGATCCTGGGGAGGAGAAGATGAGCAAAATCTAATTGTCCCCAGAAATTGAGTGAAGCGGATGGGACGGCCACAGAAGTCTAGGAGCCCAACTTGGTCAGCCCAGCCCTGCCAGCCTGCTTTGTGACTTCAGGCAGGTCAGTGTCCTTTCTGGGCCCGAGTTTCTTCCTCTGCGGAATAAGTATCCTTTAAGATTGCCTCTGGCTTGAACATTCCATGCAACGTGACTACTAGCTGAATTGGTAGGCGCCGCTGGAGTGGGAAGGGCCCTGGCTGGCAGTGCCCAGCACCTGGCTCTGAGAGTATTGAAAAGGCGGATCCCGTCGGCGGCCCCACAGATCTGGATGAGGTCCTGCCGGGAAAGCTTCAGCAGATCGGTGCCTGCAGAGGCAGACAGGGCCAGGTTGGTGGGAGAGGCCTGGGAACAAGGTTGGCAGGGGACACAGTCCAACGTTAGCCTGCAGATAGCCCTGGTACACCCGGAGAGTCAGGCTTAAATTCAAACCCCGGCTCTGCTACTTGCTGGTTGTGTATCTTTGGGCAAGTTATTTGACCTTTCTGAGCCCTGTCCTCAATGGGTAGAATGTAAATTATATAGAATAAAAGAAGAGAGCCTAGCACACATGGTACCTGGCAACACTTAGTGCTCAGTAGAAGTTAGTTGAAGGGCACAAAGAAGCCAGGACAGAGGCCGGCTTCCTGCTGAGCGTCCCACCCTCACTCCCCCACAGCCTCACCAGTGAAATTGGCTAGAGTCCGGCAGTAGCTGGAGAACCTGTGCCAGTGTAACCACTGCTGCGTCTCTAGGATGGAAGCTCCAGGGTTCAGGTCCTGAGACATAAAGATGGCAGTCCTGGTAACACCGTGGACCCGCAGACTGAGGAAAAGGGGTAGGGGACAGAGCCCCACCCTCGGGGGCCCCAAGTCTGAGAGGAAAGTCTCATCCTGCAGTGTCCCCTGCAGGACGGGGAAGTGTCCCCGTCCCATCAGGGAAGTTTGTGATCTGTTGGCCATACCACATCTGTCCGCCAGGGGGCAGGGCCACCCTACTCTGAAGCGTGAGATGAAGCTGCTGAGTAGGCTTTAGAATAGGGATTGGATAATTGAAAAGGAAAAACTCACCTCAGCGGGGCTGCCCCCCAAGGTATCCAAGATGAATGGGGGTGAGCCGCAGAACCTGTGGGGAGCTGAAAGTCAGGGGCTCTGCGGAGCGGTGCAGCCCGCTGCCTGCCCTGGGAGGCAGGGCTTGCCAGGTGTCAGTCATCCCACTTGTTCCCGAGAGCACAGGGCTGAGCCTCTCCCCCACGCACCTCTCAACCCTGCCCTCCCCGATGTCTTCTCTTCGCTCTCACCCCAAAGGGCTGGTAGGGGGTGTTCATCCCCACTCACCTCTCCGGGGACAGGAGCTTGCAGGAGTGGGGGGAGGTCAGAGGGCTGAGAGGCTGGTAGGGTCCTGCAATGGGCTCTGGCCATGGTGAACACTGTGGGCAAACAGCAGTGTGGGCATGGACTGTCCCCAGGGCAGTGGTGTCTGTCTCTCATCTCTATCTGCCTATTAACAGCTGACAAGGTGTCTTCCTTGGGCCAGACTTGGTCCCTGCCCTAGGAATCCATGACAAGCAGATTAGGTTTCCACACACAGGAAGAGAATAAAGTAGCCTGCAGGTCGGGCTGGGAAGGGATCCAGGCAGTGGGAGCGGAAGTGTGGTGGCCGCGATGGCAGGGCCCAGGAGAGGCAGCCTGGAAGGCGTCAGCTCCTGGAAGTTTTGAAGAGATGAATGTCTTTGCAGGGATCAGGTGGAATCACAGAGAGGGAGGTGACCATCCTGGAGCAGCCACAGCCCGTGGGGCCTCAGTTTCCCCGGGGGTACAATGAGGATCTCTCCGCCAAACCTCCCTGCCCACCCGTCTCCCCAACGCACACCTCCACAAAGACCGTGCTCTCACAGGCAGTCTGATACTTGTCTCTCTCGTGCAGGGGCTGCTTCTCCATCTTCTCCCGGTCAGTTTTCAGTTTGCGGTCAGCTCCTTTGGGCTACAAGAGGGGGACATGAGACCACAGAGGCCGCTCTTGCCTGCACACTTCTCATTACAGAAAGGGGTCTAAGAAAGAGATCAAGCCCCATGCCTCTATGTGCAGAGAAGGAAAGAGTCCCCAAGATGGGACTGTAGGCTGAGGGCCCACTGCAAACAAGGCCAGAATCCACGATGCCATGGGGGTGGGGGAGGGGGCCCAGCGCTGCCTTTACCTTGAACACCTTGATGAGGCAGCCAGCTGAATGCAGGTGTTCAGCTGGAAGCTCCTTGTCACTGGGCTTGAAAGTGTCAATCTGGAGGCGGAAGGGGACGCCTTTCTCTCCACCTTTTTTCCGAGGAGTGAACTCAGTGCTGATGCAGTGAACCTGAGGTGGAGAAGACTCCAGGTCCCACCTACATTCTAGGGGTTCCGCCTGAAACCTCTCGCCTGCCTGTCACCTGCCAGCCACTTTCCATTCCCAAGCAACATCTGTGCTTAAAGGGCGACCCTACTAGGTTCTTTCTCGTGTTCAGAATCCTTCAGCAGCTCCGCTGGGCTATGGGATGAGAAGCACCGTTCCTGCCCCTGGCATTTGAGCACCTGGAAGAATCAAGTCAAGCCTCCCTGCACGGCTGCTCTCTCTCACCCATAATAAACCCACGGACCCATCTAGGCAGCCTGTGCCCCACACTCCCGCAGGACCTCCCTGGGACCCTCCACCTGGAAAGCTCTCGCTGCTCACATCTGAGCCAAGAGAACCCATTACAGGGTAGGGTTGCCAGTTAAAACACGGGATGCCCAGTTAAATTTGCATTTGAGATAAACAACAAATAATCTTTATTAAAATTTTAAAAGATTTTATTTATTTTTGGAGAGAGGTGAAGGGAAGGAAAAAGAGAGGGAGAGAAACATCAATGTGTGGTTGCCTCTCACCCCTTACTGAGGACCTGGCCCACAACGCGGGCATGTGCCCTGACTCGGAATCGAGCCAGTGACCTTTGGTTCACTTCCCATGCTCAATCCACTGAGCCACACCGACCAGGGCAACAAATACTTTTTTAGTATAAGTATGTGCCACGTATTACTTCAGATATACTTAAAAGAATCTTTACCTAATATTCCAATTTAACTGAGTGTCTTCTTTCTTTGTTTGTTTCCCTTTTTTTTTGCCAGATCTAACAGCCTACTCCAGGAAGCCTTCCTGGTCTGCTCTCCCCATGGCTTGTAACCCCTGGGTTCCTCTTAGCACCAAGATTCCAAGGGCAACCAGGGTCTTCCCCTCTACTCACACCCACTGCTCACTACAGCCCTCCCACAGCCCTGTGAAGAACAGCTATAGGTCTAACTTTGAGGGTGGGGAAACTGAGGCTTCCAGGGAGTATGTGACCGGGGCAAGGTTCGTGCTGGGACGTGGTGGCACTGGCCCTGAGCCACAGCTGCCTGCCTCCTCGTCCAGGTGTTTAGACCATGGCGGGCACTCAGAAACGGGACTTACAGGGACTTTGACAATATCGTTTGATTAGAAAGGGAAATCTACTCAACAGAGCAAGTGTGGAGAACACTGAAAACGTATGGAAGAATGCGGGCACTTCCTATCACTCCGCCCCTCAGAGACACACTGCCGGCACGCAGGTGTCGCCTCCTCCCGTCGGGGAGATTGTGTACACACACACACACATTTTTGTTTTTACAAAACAGAAATTAAACTTGAAATACAAGTTTGTATTTCTGCCTATTCTTTACGTATAGGGAAGCAGTGTTCTTGTAACAAAGTATTTCCGAGTTATCACTTTGATGGCCACACGGTGTCCATTGTAAATCTGCAGTAAACTTCCTTAGAAGTCAGTCCTCTCCTGAGGGACATTTTGATTATTACCAGCATCTTACAGGACAAATTTCTTTAAGTGGAGCTACTGGGTAGAAAGGTATGAATACTAAATTTAATCAATTTAAGGGCCACCACACTGCAGGGTGGATGTACCAGTCTGAATTCTCAGGAGAGGGGAGTGCTGTTTCCCCAGCCTCACCAGTAATAACTCTTTGAGTCTTTGAACAGTTATATATATATGAAATATTTTTTAAAGTTCTTTTTCAATTACAGTTGACATTCAATATTATTTTTTATTACTTTGGGTACACAGCCTAGTGGTTAAACATTTATGTAATTTGTGAAGTGGTCTCCCCCAGTAATTCAGGTCCCCACCTGGTGCCACCCGTAGTTATGACAGTATTACTGATTAGATTCCCTTATGCTGTACTTACATCCCCATGATGTATAAGAAATCTTAATGATCATTTTATGAGGTTGACCTGTCTACATTTAGTATCCTTATATATATAAACTGCTTACATCCTTGGCTTATTTTTCTACTGGGATTTCATTGATTTTTCCTTATTGATATATGAGAACTTTTGCTATATCAAGGATATAATACATTAGCAACTGTTCTTCCCATTTTGTGTCTCCTTTTCATTTCGCCCAGGTATCGCGGACCACGACCTTGTATGAAGGTACTTCCTGTGTTTTGTAGTTTCTTCCATTGCTTTAATGTTCAACAGGTCCTGCCTTATGGTGAAATTTGATAAACCTTTATCCATATTTTTCCCTCAAGGTATTTTCTGGAAGCGATTTCTTCTTGCCCTCTCACCCCCACCGAAACTCCCGGTCCTTTCCCACTGGCGGCTGCCACCAGCACGTGACCGGCAGCTTCAGACCCACCTGCAGGAAGAGGGAGGTCCTCTTGGTGGGGTCCCAGTGAAACTCCACCGCGTTGAGCTGTGAGGGCGGCGCCTGTGGTTCTATCAGCCCCACAGACAGCGGCACATCTGCAGATACAAGGTGGCAAGCAGGGAGCGAGGCTCCGCCCTCCCCAGCCACCAGGGCTTCCAAGCCAGAGAGAGGCCCCAAAGGGTCCGTGGCCCTCCCCACTCACCGATGTCCAGGATGCGGTCCCCGGGCCGGCTCCATCTCCACCCATCCAGCTGCTGCTGCTCCGTGTACTGCAGGCGCCGGTCGTGGAACACCACACGCGCCACACTCTGCAGGCAAAGGCGGGCGTGGCCCGTCGGTCAGAGGGTTTCTGGGCTTGTGGGAAACACTTCCCACGCCTGGGTAGGCCAGCCATCCCACCCTTTGCCCCCCCCCACTTGCTTCCCACTCCCAATGGGCATAAGTCTTAGAATCACTGCATTTGTGTCCGGATGCCCACCTGCCCCTCACTCACAAGCTGTAAGTAACTTAGAGACCTTGAGCCTCGCTTTCCTCATCTGTAAAATAGGCGAGTTAATCCCTCCCCGCTCTTAGTCACTATCCCCATCTCTTTTCTTTGCAGCACTTATCAATTTGCAACTTGTAAATCAACTTCTAATTACACATAATTTGTGTCATTACACATTTGTCTCACTCAGTAGAATGCAAGCCCCCTGAGGAAACGAACTACATCTGTTTCTTTACTGCGGATTCCCTAGCTCGGAGAACAGTTTCTGGCAATAAATGGGAGCTACATGAATAATTTTCTGAGGGAAGGAGTCGTGTGTGAATAACTTATTTCTAAACCCCAGTTCTGCTGCTTTCCTTGACTCCGTTTCCTTTTTTTTTTAACGTGAAGGCCAGATCCCTAATTCTTTTCTTTTATATTTTATTTATTTATTTTTAGAGAGATGGGGACAGGAAGGAGAAAGAGTGGGAGAGAAACATCAATGTGTGGTTGCCTCTCATGTGTCCCCCACTGGGGACCCGGCCTGCAATCCAGACATGTGCTCTGACTGGGAATCGAACCGGCGACCCTTTGCTTCACAGGCCCACGCTCAATCCACTAAGCCACACCAGCCAGGGCAGACTCTGTTTACTTTTAACCCAGGGGTGTCAAACTCACGTTCACCAGGGGCCATACCAGCCTCGTGGTGGCCTTCAAAGGGCCGAAATCATTTTAGGACTGTATAAATGTCACTACTCCTTAACTATTAAGGAGCTGAAATTACACTTGGCCCTTTGAAGACCACCACAAGGCTGATGTGGCCCCCGGTGAACGTGAGTTCAACACCCCTGACTTACCCTCTCTGCGCCTGTTGCCTCAGCAGTTCCTGCCCATCACCGTGAAGGGCAAATTAAAAGGCGGACTTGGGAGGGTTCTACTTAACAATGACATCACAGCGATGACATTGGCTTCCTGCCCAGAGGGACAGTCATACCCAGCCTTTGCCAGATCTGGGAGGAGATGCACCCACCTTCAGCAGCCGGCACCCCTGGGTGGCATCACTGTGCTTAGAGGTGCAGAGCATCTGCACCTCGTAGGACTGGCCTGGGTGAGATTAAGGGGATGGGTGAGGTCCACTCTGAGGGGCAGAGGTGGTGCCCGCCTCCCCAGCCCACCGTGGCACAGCCCCCAGAGCTCGCTGCCCCGCTAACCCCTCTCCTCCGTAGGCCCGGCGTACCCTGGTTCAGGTAGGTGAGGGCCTCCTCCTGCTGCTTCACAGCTGGTGAGGTGGCTGCAGAGAGCACGTACTGGAATGCGGGGCCGGCAGGCTCCAAGCCGGGAGCACCGGGCAGCTCCTCCTGCTTCAGGTAGGGCAGGGGCAGGGGCTCCCTGCCAGGGAGAGGAGAGCACTGCCTGCTTTCCGCCCCATCCACCCCGTCCCCTGTGGGGCTAACTCTGTCTGCCAGGTCCTATCTCCAGGGAGCCTCCAGTGTCCTGAAGCAGGCACTCTAGCAGCAGCCAGGGCCAGACAGACCCCAACTCAGCTCCTGTGGCCTCCGGGAGACCCCTGTTAAGATGCAAGTCCCAGATACTCCCAAACATCGGCAAACAGCTGGAGTCAATTTCTTGTTTGCAACCTCAGGGCTTGCCTGATGTCAAGTCAATGCCCAGCCAAAGTATCCTGAGCAGGTGGTGGTCAAAGTGTTTTGAGATGGCCCAGGACCCACTAAACTCCAGGTACATTTGACCATTACCCACCCTCCAAGGAACCCAAGAGCAGGAAGCCCTTCGCCCTCCACCTGAAACAGGCAGCCCTACCTTGCCCACCACAGCTCAGACCAGAGCCTTTCCTGGGGACTGAGGGAGGCAGGTCTGGCCCTTACCTGAGCAGGCTACTTGGGGGCCCAGAGTACAGTTCCCCAGGGCTGGGCCACAGGTGCTCCGGCTGGTTGTGCCAAAACAGCATCTTGGAAAGAGAGCGGGGCCAGGTGTGTGGCAGAGAGCTCAGCACTGGATTGGGCTGGAACCACTGGGCTGTCCACCTGGGGCCTCAGCCTGTATATGCAGGAACAAACCCACTAAAGGGTGGGGTGAGGCCTGGGGCCTCTGATTGGCTGAGTACCCAGGGGTCAAGGAAACTATGGACCTATCAAGCAGCCCAAGCTGGGCTTAGTGAAGAAATGGTGTCCCCAGTGTTCCCTACCAATCACTAACTTGAAGAGGAGATGGTGGTACAGCAAAACGAAGTCACAAGGATGGACGTCCGTGCCCCCACTGCTCCCCAAGAGGCCCAGAGACAATGAGGGGGCATGCTTAGGTTTCCAGACTGGCCCCAGATCCATGACCCACGTGGAATCCTGAGACCTATGGGCCCGGACACCCCGCATGACCCATGGAAGGAACCTACCACTCCCAGGGGACGGGACAAGCAGACATGCAGAGGGACCTGCAGAGGGTCTTTGCTCCTCGCTGGCCTCCAACCCTCCTCTCCTCTGACCCCGACACACAGGAGCAGTGATGGCAGGACGCCTGTCCTGTTGCTGGGGCTGCCTGGCCAGAGGACTGGAGTTTACAGAACATAGTCCAGCTTGCTGTGGAAACAACTTAGGGAGGGAAAGCCTGCCCGTGGGGAGGAGAGGGGCGTACCTGGGGGTGACCCGTCCCAGGGCAGTAGAAGGAGTGGAGCTCCAGTGGGGTGGGTTTCTTTGTCCCTCCTCCGCCCTGGGGTATGGGGTGGATTGTGTTTGTGGATAAATACAGTCCGCCCCTGTTGTCACTGTACACAGACAGTCCCGGCCCCCTGTGCCCATCCACCGACTTCTGTGTTTGGTATAAACAGACAAGGGCCTCCCAGAGAGCAGAGAGACAGGGCTCTAAACACGCAGCCTGTGCTAGGCTGATCCTGGCCATCCAGGCTTTGCGATTCTGGAGACTGCCTGGGCGGGGAGGGAAAACCAGTGTCCCCTGCCCCACAGTGGGGCAGGGCACCTCCATCTCCAGGTACCTGGCCCTTGGTTCCCGTACCTGCTTTCTCCTTTGATAAACCCAGATAAAACGGAAGAGGGGAGAAGACGGGAATGGGAACATGCCTGCCGGTGGGGGCCAAAGCAGCCCAAGTGCCCAAGATCCCCGTGATAAGATCCCAAAGACTTGGAAGGCCCACCCACAGCCCAAAGCTGGATTCAAGGCAAAGAGACCTCCACGGAGCCCTGCAAGGTGGAGCAGAGCAGGATCCCAGGAAGGCCAGGGGAAAGGGCAGGGGTGGGTCCTGGCCTCCTTGGTCCTGGCCTGGGAACCGCAGGGTGCAGGGCAGAGGAGATAAGCAGGTGGATGGAAGTAGAAAAGGTGGAGGCTGGTGTGGGCCCCCTTTGAGGACATCCCCAGGAGCAGGTCCTGGGAGGGGACTCCAACTTCAGCACCCAACCCCCTGCCCTCTCACCCCCCTCCACCTCCCCAGCTGCTGATCTCCTCCTCCCCTCTGGGTTCCATCTCTTCCCTACTGGCTGCTGCTCCTTCCTTCTGCCCCTCTGCACTCCTGTCCCCACCCAGGTGTTTCTGGGCCTGTCCCTGGTTTTCTATGGCTCTCTCTCTTTAAGGAAAAAGACTGGGCTTGAGGCAGTGCATCCTGGCCACTTGCAGTCCCCGCTTTGCACTGTGCCCCCTGGGCCAGCATGGCACAGGGCCTGAACAACCCACCCTTAAGGCCAGAGAGGCCTTAGGACACTCCTGGTCCAGGCAGCCCACTCTCAGAGGAGTCTCAGCGCCGCCACCCCCCCCACCCCCTGCTAGAGGCAGAGGCCTGGCCCAAAAGCCCTCGCTTTACCTTTCTGCGTGGGAGCAAGGCCTCCCCCCGCCCAACGCGGGTGTGGACTAACGGGAAGTCTGTGGCACTGAATCTTTTTCCAGGGTTTGAGGTAGTGGGGGACACCAGCAAGGACCCCAGTGTCCCGGAGTCCTGGGTGGTACAGACATGACTGTCCCAGAAACTTCCACACACAGAGACAATTTCAGGGCAATTTTGGGGGGTGCAATTTTTTAAACAGATTTTTTTTTTGCCACCCAAAATGCTCTGTCATTTTCTAGGCCATGGCATAACTCCATCCTAATAATACCCTCTTGGGTTCCTTAAGCCAAGAAACTAACTTTTTATCTGTAAAAATGCTGAGAAATAACAATTCAGTGTCCTTTTCTCCTCTAACCGACAGTTCCTTTTGTTTTGCTTTCTATCCCCAGGCTACATTTGAACCTGAAGAGTTGAAGAGTGAGGTCTACCCCTCCCTCAAAGAAAGAAGGACTGAGAGGAAAGGTGTCATTCATTCATTCATTCAACAAAATGTTATTGAGTGACTACTATGTACCACTCTCTCTCTCTCTCTCTCTCTCGCTCCACACAGTATACCTGGGTGGGTGGAATCCTGCCTGTAAAGGGCTCAGGAGACACCTTTTGCTACCCCTACATCAGTGGTCAAAATGCCTGGGCCATGGGTTCCAGGTGAAATTATTTTAAAAAGGAAGGAATGAGAGCACGATTTTTCAGACATCATGCACGCGCACACGCACGCACAGAGGAAGCTGACAATGCCATATGGCAATTCCTGTGTGGTTTGTGTGTCTGTGGACACAAATACTTCCACCCCCAAGAGGCTGTCCCTCTTTCCAGTAAAGAGTCTCTTGAGGACTTGGGGTGCCCAGCTCCAAGGGCACCACACTAAACAGCGCCCCCTAGAGTTCAACAATGCATATGCCTGCATCTAAACCCCTAATCCTTATTCCCGAGATTGCCTCTCAACCACTACTAAATCTGGCCTTGGAAAGATACCTTCTCCTCTTTTCACGCATCAAACTTGCTGCCTGCTTCTTAACCCTTCTGGCAGCACAGCCAGTTGGGGCTTATGTTCTGCATGTCCTGTCTCTGCCCTTCACCAAATTCCTCCACAGCAGTCTTCTGACATGCAGTTTATTCTTTGTGTACTTTGTCTATTCCCCCCCCACACGCAAAAAGACTGGGAGACCCTGGAGGGTAGGGACTAAGAATGTTGCTAGTGTTGAGATGAAGGGTATGTTTGTCAAGCTAGACTGAGTTCAAGCGCAGCCATGTGGCTTTGGACAAGTAACTTAACCTTCAGGAGTCTTAGGCTGCAACTATGGAAAGAGGACATGAGAGCCCTTCCCCCATGAGGCTAGAATAGAGGCCGAATGAGATGTTAGCTGAGCCCTCAGTGAATGGGGGTGTCTTTCTTCTATGTGTCCCCAGTGCCTGGTATATCACAGGTTTACTTATTTAACACTTATAGGTTTATTTCCATAACATATAAATATAGAGGGCCTGTTTGTCAAATAAACTATTCTTCAGTGCTTTTCAAACAGTTTACCTTCTGAGGAAGATGCTATTGTTTTATTATCCTCCCCCATTACACAGATGGGGAAACTGAGGCTCAGAGAAGTAAGTAGTCATCTCAAGATCATGCAGCTAAGAGAAGACAGGGCCAGGGTTTGCACCCAAGCTATCTGGGTCACAGTCACTGTCCTGTTGTACCCCCCTCTGCCTGATAGATTTAGTATCGAATTTTAAAATCAGTCTCCAGACAGCGTTCCAACTGGGATACTGAAGAACGAAGTCTACTTCTCCCCCAGAGAAAGAAGGCTGATGGGGGAGGAATGTCTCATCCATGCACTCATTCATCCAACAACTCCCAAGAAGGATTAGAGCCAGGAACCTGATTATTCCCACGACGACAGTGACTTTGGGCCTTTCTGAGTTTCAACCTTCCCAGCTGCAAAATGAGGACAAGGTGCTCTCAGTCCCACTCCCAGGCTGTGAGCCCTGAGGGTGAGTAAATATGAAGGGCAGTGGCTGGGCTGCTGCAGTTTTGATAGGTAGGGGAGGGGAGGCTAACGATGGGGAGGATTGGGCAGGAAGCAGGATTTGTGGTCTCGTCCGGGTGTGGCCATGACGAGGTCCTGCTCGACCTGGGTATCCCCGTGGGAGAAGCAGCACGTGGAAGCTTCAGGAAGGAGGGGAAAGCATTGCAGGCGAGGGAAGCAGCTTGCCCTGGCGGGGTGGTGTTGTGTGATCCACGTGGAGAAAGCCCAGTCCCACTGCTCATTACAACTGCCCTGCGAGGGAGGGCGGTTCCCATTCAGAGCAGGAAACAGAGAGCTGTCTCTCACCCAAGATGATTAGCTAACAAGATGGGGGCTGGAACCTGAGTCACCTCGCCGCCCTGCACACATACCACCGTCCACCCAGGCCAACACACAGCACTCCTTCCTGCCCATCCCACGGTGAAGCCTGTGGCTAGAGGACCCTAAGAGCCCGCCACTCTGGCTCTCTGTTTCCATTTTGTTGCCTTTGGGAGCCAGAAGGCTCCCCCTAACACACAGGAACAACCGCACCGCTCCTCTGTGAAGAGTGTGCGTGACCCCACCTCGTTCTCAGCACTGTTCCCAAGCTGGGCTGTGAAAACCCCTGGGCGGCCACGGCCTGTCTTCCAGGGCACCAGTGACACACAATGATTAGTGATTAAAATAATTTTTCGGTAAGAAAACTCCCATGGATATTCTTGGAGTCAAATGCAAAGCTTGTCCAAACATTTAATACAGAGCCTCGTCTTTAAAATGCTCTCAAGTTCTGAGTGAACCACTTTGCCAGCCCTCCACCACCCCCAACCCCTCCTTCCTTCATGGCACCGCTGGGCTCCAGCGAGTGAGTTTGAGAAGCCACTTTGTTCAGGAAACTCAGATTCCTGGCCCAACGTTCGAGGCCATTTGCCCACTTTTTTCTGCCTTCCCCTCCCATCACTCCTCCTCCCTCTTGTTTGCCTGCCACTTCCAGAACAAGCTGTTCTGTTTCACGTCCCTGCGCCTCTGCCCAGGCTGCTACCTCTGTCTAGGATACGCTGGCCCTTCTGCCTTTCAGTGCACTTGATGGCTTGTCAGCTCAGCTGGAAGCTCATCCTCCTCTATCCCCAGGGCTCCCTACCCCCAGCTCTGCTCAGAAAAACCCTCTGAATTACTGCTCTCTCTGGGTCAGGCCTCTAGTGCAGGGACCAGGTGTCCCAATGTCTGTTGCCATTCCAGGCACTTAGTAGGACCTCATGGTTCAGATGTCTCAAATGCAGACCCTCAAAAGCAGGACCAAACACACTCGGGTACAGGACATCCAGTGTTGCTTTCTATGTAGCCTGCAGGGGGCGGTATAGGCCCAGATCTGCCCTAGGCTCCCCCATGCTGCCTCAGTTAGCTCTAGATTTTCCCAGCCAGAAAACCTCTCCCAGGAGTTAAAGCACTGGACCCCAGGCAAGGAGTTACAGTCAGGTTCCACCCTCCCTGCCTCAAAGTCTCCTTAACATCACCATCCCCATGCTTCTTCCACATGGTAAGCCAGCGTCACCGCTAACCCTGGATTCAGTTGCTTCCAGATTTCATCCTCCCTCTTTCCCACCAGTTCTCAGCAACAGCCTCCACCCAGTCGGTGTCCAGGGCTCCTCTCCAACAAAAGGATCCTCCTTTAATAGTTTGGGGTCCCCCAGTGCTCATCTCTCTAAAATTCTATCTCCTGAGAGTGCCCCCAGTCCACTGGGCTCCACCCCCTTGCTCACCCCACAGGATAACATTCCTGTTACCTTGGTAGCAGACACTTTGCAGGTGGGTAGGGGGAATGAATGGACTAGAGAAAGAAAGCAGTGGCTTCACGACACTATCAGAGGCTTGGGAGGTGGTTGGTGGGCAAACTGGCGCAAGGCCTGGGGAGGGGCAGCCAGGGGCTCCGACCCACCCCCATGGCTGCCATTGGCCATGTATCCCCAGCCTCAAGGAGAAAAAGACAGAGTAGAAGGGGACATCTTCCTGGAAAGGCGAGTTTTCTTCATGGGGGAGGGGGAAACACCCCCAACCCCATCGTCCCCCTCACACGAGAATAGGACCCCTGGACAGCCCAGGCTTGGCAGGGGACAGGGCCAGGACTGTGTATACTGGGGCCCACGTTGCTCCCCTCCAGGGAGCCTGGGGCACAGAAAGAGGGAACAGCTCACCCAGCGAGTGGTATGGACAGTGCCACAGGCAGTGGGAGGGCGGCTCGGTGCCAGTGTCCTGAGCTCCAGGGGTTGGTGGCAGCAGGGGCTGGAAGGGCCCTACTCCAGCCCCTGGGGACCTGGCTGTCCCAGATGCCACAGCCGGGAATTGTGTCAGGCACTTGCGTAAGAGCCTTCTATATTTCCATAAAGTCATAATTACTGATGCCTGCCACGAGCCTTAGCTCATTAGAGTGGTATCTGCCCCTGGGGCCCTGGGGTGGGCTGGCAGGGGCAGGTCGAGGAGACTGGGCAAGGCCGGGCCACGCTTGGTGAGCTCTGCAGCCCCGGTCCCACACAGCCTTCTGCCTCTCCCCAGTTTGGAGGTGAGAACCCAGGCTTAGACTCTCCTACCCTGGGGGATCAATTCTAAAGCTAGGAGGAAAGGCCAGCTGCTCATATTTTCAGCTTGGGCTGTCCTTGGCAACCAACCCATGGGGGCAGAGGCCACAGTGGGAGGGACCTGAGTGGAAGGTTTTTCACGGGAGAAAAGAGGCCAGTCCGTATGGAAGGAGTAGCAACCCCTCACATCAGAGAATCTCAACCACTTAGTGGAGGGGCCCTGGGGGTCATTCAGACCAGAGGTTCTTAATCTTAGGGGAACTTAAATTCTTGAGGAACAGATAAATGCCCTGACTCTCCCCCAGAAAGTGCTTATCCTCCAAAATTTTTCACAACTTCAGGGAGTTCACGAACTCCCCGAAGCTCACCTGCAAGCTCAAGGTTAAGGATTCTTTAAAAAAAAAAAATAATAATAATAATAATAGCAATTTATCCTGCAAGTACTCTGTTCAGTTCTTTACATGTATTAACCCATCTAATCCTCAAAAGAATACTGACAGGTGTGCAATTATCGCTTCATTCTAACCCAACTTCCCATTTCAACCTAATGTGGTCCAGCTGCCCATCTAAAAAGAAGGAAGCCAAAATCCCTCCAGAGAACAGCTCTCTGCCCAACGTTGCAGAACAGAAAGAAAAGGGCAGATGGCCCATGTCCCACTGGCTCAGTTGGTTGGAGTGTCGTCCTGTACATCACAAAGTTATGGGTTCGATCCCCTGTCAGGGCACACACCTGGGTATTGGGTTCAATCCTAGATCGGAATGCACATAGGAGGCAATCGAATGATGTATCTCTCACATTGATGTTTCTCTCCCTCAAATCAATAAGCGTATCCTTGGGCTAGAATTTTTTTTAAGGGCAGACTGGGATGAGGATCAGGCTCGCTTAATATGCTGGGCACTGTGCCCCATGCAGATTTTGTCACCTGGTCTGTCCCTCTGTCCCTGGGCTCCTGAGGGCCCAGAGCCCACTCTCACCACACGCGGCTCTCCTAGTAAGAAGCACCCCAGTAGTTCTGTGTTGACTTCCGGTCTGAGTAGTTCTGAGAGTGTGGCTGCCACCCATCCCCCCGTGGCACCTTGCCTCTAGCTTCGCCCAGTCCTCACTGCAGCCCTGAATCTGAGCTGGGACAGTGTCCCTCCTTCTCCAGGAGAAGCTAGTCTGGCTGCGCCTGCCCTGTCCCCGAGCCACTGCAGCAGGAGTTGTTGGCGCTGAGACAATGACTCAGACTTTGTTCGTGAAAGACTTCTCCAAAACATTCCCAGAAAGGACATCCAGAGGTCATGGCATCCAGCCCCCCCAACCCCCACCTCCTCCTCACTTGCCCCATTTCAGGCTCCTGACGCCAGGATCAGATGGGTCCAGGCCCCACCAACATTCCCGGCTTTCCTTGCTCACTGGTACCATCCATTCCCTTAGGAATTCTTCCCCAGGTTTCAGCAGAATCTTTCTCTGGGTTGGCTCCCCCATGAAATAAGAGGCTCCAAACGAAGTGAGGGGAAAGAAGCTCTTTCTTCTCTCCACCTCAGGAAAAGCACTGGGAAGGGAAAAGTAGTCCAGAAGAAAGGAGGAAAAGAAGAAAATTAATTTTCCCTGCCTGTCTTCTCCTTCATTCTCCTAACAGTGAGGCAGCACTATGTCCGTTTTACTGATGAAGAAATCAAGATGCTAAAGGGTTTAATTACTCACCCAAGGTCACAGTTAATTAGTGACTATGCAGGGACTGGGTTCTAAGGAAGCCAGAGTGTCTGCTCTTTGGGAGAAACAGGGGGACCTCCCCCCAGGAGGTCTCCAAATGCAGAACCCATGGTTGCTCCAGCTCAGGATAGGTGGGGGACCTGATGACGCTGTCTGAGAGTGCTCTGAGCATTCTTACATCTCAGTTGCCCAGGGAGGGGATTTGGGGGTGACCTGGGCTGGGCAAGTGGGAAAAGAACAGCCCTCAGAGGAGATTGGGAGAAGGCTGGTAATGAGTGGGCCTTTGGAGAGACTCGTTTGAGGCCAGTTTCTATGGAAGCTCCTTTCAGGAAAGCTAGCGCCAGGGAGCCTGCAATTGTATTGGATGGATATGGAGGGAGAGGGGGCTAAGCCCCCACAACCATGTCTGCCCTTGTCCTACTTCTGCCATTGTCAAATAAATCTCTATTCTTGGACACAGTAACCTGAGTGGCGCCCCAGTGGTGAGCTCATCCTTGAGAGGACAGAGGCCGCGCGAAGGGCTGGGTGTATGGGCAGACACAGGGTTCAGCTTCTCCTCCAGGGCTGGCACAAAGGCACGACCTTCTTGAGTACACTGCCCCCCACCCCCATCTCATTACCCGCAGTAGATGAGGAGGAAAGAGACTTAGACCCAGAAGTCTCTCTACCCACACCCAGGAAAGGAGTCTCACAATCCCCTAACCTACCTCCCTTTCCTTGGACAGACCAAGGGGTGAAGCTTGACCTTTTGGTTAGGACAGGAGGCGAGGGAGGGGTACTTGGAGAAATGACAGGTGAGCAACATGCATTATAATAGCTACCTTCAGAAGAAGCAGACAGAGGACTCCTTGGAGGGCAAGAACCTGCTTCCCCCACCACCTTTCCTTACCCCCTGATCTAACTCCATTTGTGGTAGGATCTATAGGAGGGGGGAGGCATGTCTTGGAGAAGTTTAGAGGACCTTCGGTACAGGGAACTGAGGCCACATCTCCGCTCAAGTCCAGATAGTAAGACGTCCAGAAAGGGACACAGTTGCCTTGCTTTCCGTCCACAAAAGAGCAACTGTCAGGCCTGGCCTTTGATACATGAGGTTCAGTTGTCCCTCCTCTGCTTGAGGAAATCTCTACCTCTTAGTCCAGGGGTGTGCATGTTGGTAGAGAGTTTCTTTAGGGCAGAGAGACATGCACGTGTTGTAGCAGAAGGGTCCCCATTCTACCTCCACTTCGCCATCAGAAAGTCCTAATTTGGGTCCCACTTTCCGCTATCCTGCAGGTACAACCTATTCCTATTCCCCCAACCCCATACAGACTCTGGTGATCTTCCCAGACATCCCTCAACCTTGTCACGCCACCCATTCCGGGTTTTTCAGTGTAAAACTGCCCCCTCCACCTCTTTACCTTCCAAGCCCCGCCCCATCTCGTCGAACCCCTGAGGCCCCGCCCAGTTCGCCCTCAGAAGCAGCCAATAGCTGAGAACCTAATTTGCATAGAGGCTCGAGGGAGGAGCGGAGGAACGGGGGAGGGACAAGGCGACCTCCTAAATCAAAGTTGGGAGGCGAGGACTGGGCGGAGGGGGCTGCCGGGTGTGGGGCTGGGACCCGTGGGGGAGGGGGAGGAGGATGGGGGGCGGGCGCAGAGGACGGCGGAGACTGCCGGACACTGACAGCTCCGTAGCTCCCTCCCTCAGCTCAGTCCCGCGTCCCCACTTCCCTCCTTCCCTGGCTCGGAGCAGCATCCTCTGCAGACCCGCGGTCCTCACTTCCCGGGTCGTCCCGCTTCCGCCGCTCAGTGCAATTACTACCCCTCACCGGTCAAACCCGGAACTTTCTCCACCCGCTCCCGGGAGTGAGGGGTTGCTTTGTCTGGGCGGCTTTCTGCCGGGGTTCACTGGGGAGCAGTCTGCGGAGAAGGGCTTCAGGGTCCCAGAGAGACGCCGTCGCCCTCAGCCCGCCCCCCAGCGGGCCGGCCGTCGGGTCTCCGGACCTTCTCTTCCCCTCCACCCCAACAATGACCGAAATGAGCGAGAAGGAGAATGAACCTGATGACGCGGCCACCCACACACCCCCGGGGACCGTCTCTGTCCTCCAAGAAACCAAGGTAACTCGGGAGGCACGAGGCCTGGACCCCTGTCCGGTGCGCCCCCGGCCCGGGCGCCCTCCTCGCGGCGCGGTCGCCACTGTGGGCTTGGGTGCCCTGGGCTCACGGTATCAGGGCGGGCGTGATCGTTAAGGCTCCGCGCTGCCACCCGGGGGGAGTGGGTTCGCGACGACGGGCCACAAGGAACCCCCATCCTACAAGCACGACACGCCTTGCGCACTACCGCGACCCTCCAGGGAGGTTGTAACTGGGCTTTGTTGGAGGGAATCGGCGCAGCGAAGGCGGAGGTGGAGTGTATCCCTGTGTAGCGAGTGTGGGTCGGTGTACGCGCCCGTGTGTACGTGCGAGGCGCACCCCTCTGGTGTCCGCCAGGTCTCTGGGTGTAGCTCAGCCTGTCCCTCTCTCTCTGTGTCTCTCTGAAAATGTCTCTACAACCTGTTTGTCTCTGTCCTGGTATCTTTCTGCGTGCGTCCCTCCCGGGCTCTCTAGGCGTCTCCGCGTGTTTATCTCTGAGTCTCTTTGGCTGTCTCCCTCTGACCCGCCGCAGTCCTGCGTTCCCCGCTCCCAGCCAGGTTAAGCTGGGGTGCGGGAGGCCGCGGCCCAGGGGTGCGCAGCTTCCGAGTCCACGTTGGGGGCTGCGGCAGCGCAGGCCACCTCGGGCGGGGACTGGGGACTGCTGTTGCGGCTCCAGACCAGAAAGACAGGCAGCCCCACCCCCACCCCGGGAGCGGGACGGGAGTGGGGTGGAATGGGGAGGGTAAAAGCAAAAAGAGAAGTCATCGTAATTAATGAATGTCATAATTAACCCTAATTATGTATGATTGTTGCTCCTGCGGGAGTCACAATGAATAAATTATTCCCCAGTGAAGTCTGGCTGAGCCCAGATTCCTGCCGTTGAAGGGGATGAGGGAGAGAAGCCTCTCACATTCTACGAGCACCTCTCCCCCTGCCCCCCAACCCCAGTCTGCTCCTTCCCCAAGTTCTAAGTGCTCACAACTGACCCGCAAGAAGTTCTGCGGGAAGCAACCTGAGCCGGCCTGGGGATGTGGAGAGAAGAAACAGCTGTGTCAAGGGTGCTCCCTGCCCCCTCCCCAGACTACAGACCAAGGCCCCCTTCCCTCCCCCTTCCACCTGGTATTTTGTTTCCACCCTGCTCTTATTATCCAGATGAGGAGGGAGGCAACGGGAACTAGAAATGGATGGGGCCTTTGGCTCCCCTCACCTCGTATCCCTAGTTTAGCTATAGTTCTCTCCAATGCCCATCTTCTTCCTCATTCTGTCTTTGTCATCTCCCCAGGATAGAAGGGTGACTCAAGGTCAAGGTCGTCAGGGGAGTGACCAGGGGGAGATGAGTAGGGCCAGGGTGGAGTGTAGCTGAGGCAGCCCACGAGGCTTCTCATCCCTAAATCAGAGGGACTCAGTGGGTCTCCATGTCCAATTCTTCAGATATACACTTGACCTTCTCCTGACCCCTTCTGTGGACTCTCAGACCACAGAGTTAACTCTCCTTCAGACAGTCAAGTGTCTACTGGGGAAGGAAAGAGGTGCTGGGGTGGGAGGATATTGCTTGGAATATTTGGGACAGCTTCTTTCAAGCAGAGGGAACCCGGGCTGAGCCCATCTTGAGTTTCAAGGCCCTGAACTCAGTTGCCTCTAGTCACCCTGGACAGACAACCCCTCAGTGCTCCCAGGGGCTTAGGGGCCCCCCAGGCCCTGCCCTGCTTCCCACACCAAGGCCTGACAGTTCTGCTCCTTCCTGAAGAGCTCCCCACATGAGCATGCAGGAGAGAAAGCAGGCAGGCGCCCTCAGCAGTGCTGCCTCAGCAATCAGCAAGCTGCAAGCTCAGCTGTGTGGATACAGGGAGGTCTGGGCCTAGCAGGTGTGTACTGCCCTCCTCCCAGCCCAAGGGCCCTCTAATGCCGTCACCCCCAGGTCTGAACCATGGATGTCCCAGGAGCAGGGGAGCAGGGGGTGCACATCTGACCTGGCCCCTCTGTGCAGGGCCAGTCGGAGCCCTGCACCTTAGGTCCTCTCTCGGTACCTCCCCCTCCTGAAGGACTCATAATAGCAACAGGGTCAGGAGGGCAGAGGTGGGCAGAGGGAGAATGATTCAGGAGCCTCGCCAGCCTCCTTCCAGTCTCAAAGAGACTTCTGTCTCCAGGCTGTAGAAATGGGGGAGAGGGAAGGAAGAGGGGTCGTTGCTGCCCACCCAGCTCAGTTTGAAGCAGGTACAACAGAAGAGGCAGGTACAACTTCCCATCAGGCAGTGAAGCCAACATCCCAGGCTTATATATCAGTGTTTGGGGCCCAAATCCAGCCTTCTGCCCACCCTCAGGTTGGGTCTCACCCAGGCATCCAAGCTACTCAACGACCTTCCTCGTGTCATATCACCTTTGCTGGGTCCCCATCCCATATGACCACATAGGGCTTGCCATCACCTCTTCTGATGCCATCATTGGGAAGACTCCACCATGCCAGCTCTGCCATCTGAGTCAGCTTGTGCCAAGTCTGCCACCACTCACCGCCTCCGCCTTGGTGCCCTTAGGCACTGGTGGGAAGTGAGGAGGTACTGTGGAGAACTGAGGAAGGAGGGAACCATCTAGAATGCAGGGAAGTGGGAAGGAGGCGGGCAAGCCAGGTCCTGACTCTGGGAGGAGGTTTGGGCTTCAAGCCACACAAGCCCCTGGCACATTGGGATGGAATAGGATCCGGGTGGTACAGCTCCCCAGGGTACATGGAGACTTCTCCCCAAGGCAGGGAGTGGGTCCTGGAACAGTGGGTGCACCAAAAAGATAGCTGAAGGGGAGATGGGGAAAGATCATTTCTGGGAACTAGAAGTCCCAGGAACGGGAATGCCTGGCCAGGCTGAGCCAAAACGAGCTTTGCATAGCCAAGCCAGGTGTCTCTGGAGTGGGCAGGTATCAAGCAAGCCATTTGGCAGGGGTGTCCCCTTCCTGCCCTCCGGCCACAGCTCTTGACATCTGCCAGCCACAGCAGGTGGTATCTGGGGCCCACAGCGGAGCCAGAGAATCTCAGACAGAGTCGGGCTGCCCTGGTGCTGGAGAACATTTGGTTCCGGAGACCTCTGGAGCCCTGCAGTGGTGGCTCGTGGCACTGAGGCCAGGGTGCCACAGGAAAGGGCACAGGCCGGAGAGTGAGGAGTATTACATCCCGTGAGGGTTATTATGAAAATAATGGCTTGGGAACGGGACACAGGACTGATAGCTTAAAATATTTGAAGGACTGATGCGTGAGAGGGAGGAGCCATTTCTGGAGCTGAGCGGGGAACAGGAGCTGATAGGCAAAAGTTGCGGGTTTCAGCTCTGTAGAGGGAAGCGCTGCCCAGTGATTGCAGCTGCCCGAAGACGGACTGACCATCCCAAGAGAGGGCAGTCAGACAACCATTCTGTGGTGACGTGCATGACGACAAGGGAGGGACTGCTCTAGACAGCCAGTTTTCCAAGTCCCTTCTAACCCTGAATTTCATTATTAATCTGGTAACAAGCCTATGGAGCAACTGAGGGGCAGAGGTGAGGGCACAGAGCAGCAGGATGCTCCTGATAACGCGGGTTCAACAGCGAAAGCCACTGGTTCAAGTCCTGGCTCTGCCGCTTAGCAGCTTAGGACCCATGATGAGTAAGTGGCAACGCCTGTGAGCCTCAGTCCCTCATCTGAAAGGTGGGATCATTGTCACCACCGCCGAGGGCAGTGCCAGGGTTAATGAGGCGCGGCACATAAAGGGCTGGCTCACTTCCAGTCCGCTGACAATGACGGCCCCTAGTTACAAGTTCATGTTTTTGGTTCTGGGACCCAGGACCTTGCATTGCTCAGACAGCACATAGTCCTGCCTCCTTCCCCAAGGATGTGGGGAAACGGAGGCTCAGCGAGAGGAAGTGAAGTGACTTGCCTCTAGACAGCAGGGTCAGTGTTCTCCCTACCCCCCAGCACATCCTGCCAGAGACCTCGTGTGCTCTGTGTCCATGGCCCCGGGGCAGTGGTGGTTCACTCGCTCGCCCCTCTGGGTCTGTGAGAGCCCCCAGAGCCCTATTTGGTCCATAGAACACATTTGTGTTCTAATGATTGTCCCCCTGGCCCTCCACCTCTGCCCCAGTATTCAAGCATCTGGGGCCTGGGGCCCTGAATCTCACACACACAAAGAAGCCCACAGTGCTGTCCAGGAAGCTGCATTTGGAAGGAGTTAGGCGGCACAGTGTGCCAGACACCCCAGGGCTCTGGCTTCCCAGCTGGCACACTGGGCCTGCCTTGTGCCCAAACATCTCCCTCTCTGCTCCCCACTCTGTCTTGCTGCCTGCTGACCTCCCCAGGGCTAGAGGGGCCGCCACTTCCATCCTCTTGGCAGGGTTGCTAGACTGGGAACCATGGCACACAGGCTGCCTGGTGTGCCAGCTGGGAAGCCTGGCCAAGTATCCCTGTCTGAAGCCAGGCCTCTGGCACTCTTTTTCTGTTGCTGGTGGAAAGGAAAGAGCAGGGGTAAAGGGGGGTCTCAACAGGAGGGGAGTGGGGCAAGGATCCAGGTAGAGAGTTTTCTAGGCCTCACTCTGGGCAGACTCAAGAGTGGTGTGTTTGGGTGAGGGGTGGAAATACTGCTGACCTCACTGCAGAATCCACCCCGCACTCCAAAACACGGGCTACATTTAGAATTCCAGCCACCGGCTCATCAATTAATTATTAAACGCATGTTGACTGAGCACCTACTTTGTGTCGAGGCCCTGTGTCGGGATTTGGAGCAGCTGTCCCTGCTCTGAGCTCACAGTCTCTTGGGAAAGTGCAAAGTGAATGATAACAGAAACGTGGCTAGAGCTATAATGGAAGTCAGTACTGGGTGCCATGGGCCCCGGGGGTGGAGTGGGAGTGGGTTCCATGAAATGAAACGTGCAGAAGAGACAGCTTCCCAGAAGAGGAAGAGTCACTGGAAATCCTGAAGGAGAAATAGGGCAGAGAAGGGGACAAATTGAGTCAATAGCTTACAGACTTGAAATACGGATAAGCTGGAGTCCCCGGGGTTGAGCTGCAGGGGGAAGGCAGGGTCGGAAAGGCAGGTCTGGCGAAGTTGCAGAGACTCATGTCTGGGGGAGGGCCTTGGCTGAGTCCTGAGGGGCCATGAAACATTTTTAGCGGGGTCAGGGATACCCTCCCTGGCAGCTGTGTGGGGGGCAGGAGGAGGCGAGGGGTTGTGGCCCTGACTCAGACTTGGGGCGCTGGGCTGGGAACTGAGGCCAGGCTGTGCAGGTGAGGAGGCGATGATAGCAGGCGGGCTGAAGAGTGTTTGAGAGGGAAAATTCACCCTGAGGACGAGGGTCCAGGATGACCACTCCCCCACTGTTCAAGAACACAGGCGGAAAACTGGGGACATGACTCCCAAAGTATCTTATGTATTTTTATAAAAATGGAAAGGGAGGGATAAAGACCTCTCGTATGCACCCCACCCAGGGACCAAACCTGAAACCCAGGCATGTGCCCTGACTGGGAATCAAACCGGTGACTTTACTTATTTATCTTTAGAGAGGAAGGGAAGGAAAGGAGAGAAGTATCAATGTATGGTTGCTTCTCATGAGTCCTCTGCTGGGAACTGGCCCGCAACCCAGGCATGTGCCCTGATTGGGAATCGAACCGCAATCGTATGGTTCGCAGGCCCATGCTCAGTCCACTGAGCTACACCAGCCAGGACCCAAAGTACTTTTTTAAACTTGAGTAAAAGGTGTACTCCTACAATGAAACCTTGTGTAGCCATAAAAAAGAATGATGGAACTCTTTATGTATTGGTATGGAATGATTTTCAAGATTTACTATTAAGTAAAAAAAAAAGCAAGGCACAAGAAAAATAGTATACTACCATTTCTGCAATAAGAAAAGGAAATGGAACATCTCAAATTTATTTCTATTCAATTTCATGTAAAAGTTTCGATTCTTTTTGAAAGATTGGAACAGCCAACAATACTGAGCTGGCCGTACGGACTAACCTCAGTGAGCTGGGAGACCGGCAGCTGCTGGCCGGCTGTGCGGTTTGCCACGGTCCCCACTCCCCCTAATGATGCTCAGCCAGAACTCCTTTGCTCATGGAGGTTACTGTAGCATCTGGGATTGTGGCCCACTTTGCAGAGTTGCTCACCAACACTGATACCCTGGAGGGGAGCCAGCCCCCTCTCGGCCTTCTACTCACAGCCCCTCTTCCTCCCTCAGCTCCAGCGGTTCAAGCGCTCACTTTCTCTCAAGACCATCCTCCGGAGTAAAAGTGTAGAGAACTTCTTCCTTCGCTCGGGCTCTGAGCTCAAGTGCCCCACGGAGGTGCTGCTGACACCCCCGACCCCTGTGCCCACTCCCTCCACACCACTGGCATCCACAGATAGGGGCCTGCCCACCCCCACGCCCTCCCCATGCCCGGTCCCACGCCCCCTGGCATCACTCAAACCAGTGAGGCTGCACAGCTTCCAGGAACATGTCTTCAAGCGAGCCAGCCCCTGCGAGCTGTGCCACCAGCTGATCGTGGGTAGGTGCCTGAAGTGAGTGAGGTGATGGGCCAGGGTGGGTGCAGAGAGTGGGCCTGTGGAGCTTCCTGACATGCAGGCCTCCCAGCCCTGTGGCAAATGAGCACCGTTGGGGGAGCGTGGTTGCCTGGTGTTGCTGTGTTTACTGACAACTCAGCCTTCAGTGCCAGTCCACACCGTGGCTGCTCTAGGGATAGGAGCTAGTCCCCAAGGCTGGCGTGAGGACACCCAACCCCTGCTCTCTCCCTAACCTGCTTCTGCTGCTCATGGACCGTGGACATGTCCTCTCTTGACTAACCTCTCCTTCCAAACTCGAATTCTTCCCAGGAAACTCCAAGCAGGGCTTGCGGTGTAAGACATGCAAAGTCAGCGTCCACCTCTGGTGCTCTGAGGAGATCTCCCATCAGCAGTGCCCCGTCAAGACGGTGAGTGGGCACCCTGCAGAGACAACCAGTGGAGAGCTCCCGGGACTGGCCCGTGGGGCAGGAAGTGCTGGTTCCCCGTGTGCGGTGGTCCCTGGGCTTGGGGAAGGCCAGGTGCTCAGTGGACTGTGACATCCTCATGCCCTCTCTCTGCCCCTCCTTGCCACAGTCCTCCTCCTTCCGCCGCAACTTCAGCTCCCCGCTCCTGGTGCATGAGCCGCCACCAGCCTGTACCACAAGCAGAGAGTCCCCACCCACTGGTGAGTATCTCTCTGGTCCTGATCCCACTGTGGTGTGATGAGAAAGCCATGCCTCCCTCACAGGGACACCTGAGTCACACTGGCACTGCAGTTCTGGGCACTGCTACCACTTCCCTTCTCTGGATGCTGCCTGTCCCAAATGTAGAGTTCATTCATTCATTCAACTGTTGGTTCTTCAACAAAAATTTTATTGAGCACCTACTAAGTGCCAGACACCATGCTGGGCACTGGGGCACAGCACTGAAGAAGGTGAAGCTCATAGTCTATAAGGAAGCTAGATGTGAAATGGGTAACTATACCAATCATCAATTAATCACCATTCAGATGGATGCCTAAAACAAGGATAGGGATGAGAGAGAGGCTAGAACAGGCCCTGTCCTCGACCACTGGGGCCAGGAAAGCATCTGGGATGTCAAGGACGGGGAGCCAGTGCGCGGAGGCCCTGGAGAGGCTGCTGGGGCAGGGGTCGTGACCCGAGGCAGGACAGGGCTGAGGCCGAGGGAGAAGGAGTGAGAAGGTGAGACAGGACCCTGGGTGCAGGGCCTTGGGGTTCATTTTAGGATTGTTCTTCTGACCTTATTCTAAAGGCAATTTTTGTGTTTTTGTAAGAGCATTCTGGCTGCTGCAGGATTGAAGGGGCCAGAGTGGAAGCATGGAGAGTAGCTGGGAAGTCTCAATGACAGTCCAGGGAGTTCTGTAGCTCGGACTGGCCCGGTAGCAGTGGAGGCAGAGAGACGCGGATAGATCCCAGAAACATTTGGGAGGCAGGACTAAGTGATGGAGTGATGCAGGCAGTGAGGAGAGCGAGGGGTAGAGATGCCCCAGGTTTCTGCACGGGCTCCGCTGGAGGACATGGAGCTCTCTCTCCCTGTGATGAGGGAGAGCCGGTGAGGCAGCGGAGGGGAGACAGGGGCTCAGCCTTGGCCATGCTGAGCTGGAGCCGGTGGGGCAGCCAGGGCCGAGGTAGGGGGATCTGGGGCTGAGCGGGGCTGGCAGCTGGGTGCCCAGCCCTGAGGGTGGATCCTCGGCAGGAGCCAGCGGCAAGGTGGACCCCGTGTACGAGACGCTGCGCTACGGCACCTCCTTGGCGCTGATGAACCGATCCAGCTTCAGCAGCACCTCTGAGTCCCCCACACGGAGCCTGGTATGGTGGGCCTCAGTGGGGAACCTTGGGGGAAGGGTCTTTTGAAAGTGAAGGTCCAGGGGCTGAACCCTCCCCTCTCTGTCCCCAGAGTGAGCGGGACGAACTGACTGAGGATGGGGAAAGCAGCATCCGCAGCTCTGAGGAGGGACCTGGTGACAGTGGTGAGTAGGGGTCGGGACCGGGGGCAGGGAGGGGACACAGTGCGGCTGCTCCCTGCTGCCTCACACCCTGGCCTCCCCTGGCCTCCACAGTATTCACAGCTCCTGCGGAGACCGAGGGGTCAGGACCAGAGGAGAAGAGCCCTGGACCGCAGGTGGGGTGATGCTGGCAGGCCCCAGCAGGCCAGGCGGGAAAGGGGTGTCACTTACCCTTGTCACTGACCCATAGGTAGCTGAGAGCAGGTGAATGGGAGTACGACTTCTCCATCCTTTAACCCCCCCCCTCCGTCTGCAGGGATGGGCGGTGCTAGGGTGAGTGGGCACAGGAGGCAGGCGGTGCGACACCTCCCACGACTGACCCAGTGACTACTGTGCCCACTCCTGTTCTCCCCAAGGGTGGGCAGTTCCAGGGTGCAGCAGGCATCGGAGCATCTCCCTTCTCCAAGGGCCCAGTCCCCCTGGGGTGTGTGAGTGCCGCCAACAGGCGAGGCTGACTTCTCCCTGTCCTTGACCCGGGAGCCTTGTGTCCCACCCCCTAACCCCCAGGTAGCAAGGTCAGGTGCATGGGTGGGTGAGGAGGATGTCAGGCTCCCCTCGCCGACCCGAGGTCTTCCACAGCCACAGCCCCCCAGACCACCCCTGCGGAGGGACGCGGGGCCCATGTACTACTACGTGGCGCTCTACAAGTTCTTACCGCAGGAGAACAACGACCTGGCCCTGCAGTGAGTCTTCCTGGGGCCCAGCCCTTCCCCGCAGCGCTCCCCCCTCCCCCCCACCTCTGACTCCACCCTCAGGGCCCATCACTCCCAGCCCCTGGGATATGAGCGTGAGGCACCTTCAGGACGCTTCTCGCTTCTCCCGGAAGAGCTGAGGCCCGGAGAGAGGCAGAGCTGCCCAGAGCCCACGAGGGATTTGGTGCTGATGGCACGGCCCTGCCGCCTGCCCCAGCTCTGTCCTGGAGAATGTCTCCTGTCCCTGCAGCCACAGGTGTCCTCTTTCTGAGGGCATCAAGAGTCCCCCTTCAGCTGAGGGGGGCACGCCGGGGATCTGGGGGCCCGAGACTATTGGGATGTGGAGATGGTGAACCCCCCCTGCCCCACCTGCTGCCCTGGCTCTCTCCTCCCAGGCCTGGAGACCGGATCATGCTGGTGGATGACTCCAACGAAGACTGGTGGAAGGTGACTCGTGGGGTGGGAACTGGGGGGACCCTGGGAGGAATCTCACCAACCTCTGCCCTCAGTGTGCACTGCCCCACCCCCTCCTCAGGCCCGAAGACCACTTCTCCCCACCCTGCCACCGGCCCTCGCCAAGCCTAGGACCAACCCTCAATCCTTGCTCTTGCCTTGACCTCCGCTGCTTCAGCCCTGTCCCTCTGTCCATCTGATGCCCTTCCCATTGCGGAAGCCACCTGACTGGGGGGCTCGAATACAGGGAGCTGAGGATCTAGCACTGGCTCCCAGTGGGCACTGGGTCTAGAGAAAGCAGTGGGGGGTGGGGGGTGGCGGCACTGGTGCTCACGCCAGCCTCATCCCCAGGGCAAGATTGGCGACCGAGTTGGCTTCTTTCCAGCCAATTTTGTGCAGCGGGTGAGGCCAGGCGAGAATGTTTGGCGCTGCTGCCAACCCTTTTCTGGGAATAAGGAACAGGGCTACATGAGCCTCAAGGAGAACCAGGTAAGTGCCTGGCCACGCGGCCCAGTGCGACTGCCTCTAGTCCCCCCAGCTGGCATTTGGGGTTGGTGGCCACAAGCAGAGGCTTGAGTACATGAGAGACAACCTGGGAGCGGAGGAGCACCGGATTAGGAGTCTGGAGGCTTGGGTTTGAATGCTGATTGTGCTTCTGGCTTGTTACATAACTTTGACAAGTTCTTTTCCCTCTGTGATCTGGGAGTCGGGCCACGTTAGACCAGCCAATCTCAAGGGTCAGCCTCAAAGGGCTGCTCTGTGTCTGCTGATGTGCTGGTCTTGCCGCTGTATACTGTACCCTCATGGGATCTGCTCCCATCGCCCCAGCTGAGGTCTCCAATTACATCTGATGCTGGTTTCATCATTCCCTGGAGCCGGCCCCCCGGGAGCCATAGCAGGACTCGGGCCAGGGATGCAGGCAGGGCCAGGCCTCAGCTCCATGTCTCTCTGGCTCAGGTCTGTGTGGGCGTGGGCAGGAGCAAGGATGCTGATGGTTTCATCCGCGTCAGCAGCGGCAAGAAGCGGGGCCTGGTGCCAGCTGACGCCCTGACCGAGATCTGAGAGGAGCCAAGAGAACCCAGATGCCACCCCTGCCCATGCCTGGCCCTTGCTTCCGGTCCCAGCAGGGAAGCAGGCATCCGCACATATTTCTCCCCCCTCTGCCTTTTTTCTAGAGGCCACACACTATGGCTTGGGAGCCTTCTACACTGAGGAAGGTTTCATTTCTTGGTTCTCAGGGTGTCCCGAGAGACACGATCCTCTGGGACCTGGGGCTGGGGGAGGAGAAGGAAGCGGGTGGGAACGGGGAAGCCTCAGGCAGGCCTGGCAAGTGCGCGGGCGCCCCCAGTCCCATTGCAGCGCTGAGTTCAGCCCTGACAGGCGTTCTTGGGGGAGCTTCCCTGATGCTTCTTCCAGAAAGCCTTCCGTGACCACACCAGCTTTGCATGACTGGCCTTCTCTTCAGGCCCTGAAGACCACTCCTCCAGCCACCTGCCCTAGCCAACCCTCTGACCTTGCTCTTGCTTTGACCCCTGTCCCTACGGAGCCTCTACTTGGGTCTATGTGTGCGTGGCCATGCTGGCCCCCTGCAAGTGGGGCCTCAGGAAGGTGCCTTCCCTGGTCCGGAGGGGACTCAGGGCTGTGGGAGGGCCCTGAGTCCACCTCCCGGTCTCACTGCCTCTGTCACTCCATCAATTCTCAGGAAAGTTCCACAGGAATCTCTCCCATTACTTGAAACCTGGGTGGACAGAGGAGGGGAGAGCTCAGATCTGGGAGGGTGTGTGGCAAATCAGAAACTGTCCCCCTGAATAGAGCGGTCACCCCGGAGCAGCCTCACCCTACCCTTGCCCACTGGAAAAGGACACCCAAGAGCAACCCGAACACAGAAACCCGACTGAAGACAGAAACTAGCCCATGCTTGGTCAAAACACCCCCATTTCATCATCAGGACTCTAAAAGCCCCAAGAGTAGGACCGACCAGCTAGGGGAGCCTTCATAGGTGGCCCCAGGAACCCCGCCCTCAGGAGTGACCTCCAAATGGCCCTTCCTCACCCCTCTCTCTGAGCTCTTTGGGGGACAGGGCCACTGTTGCAGGGGTCCCTTTTCTGGCTGTACTTGCTGCCTTGCCCTGGACAGACAGCCCTGGGAGGAAGAGGGAGTGGGAGACAAGGAAGGTGGACCACTGTCTGGCCACCAGGAAAGGAGGGGAGGAGGCACCTTGGGGGAGGGGTGAGCACATGCAAAGAGAACCCCTCCCATGCAGGCTGCTTTTCTCTGGTGCGAACCTCCCTCTCCCCCCACCCCCAGCTCAGAGCCTCCTCTTGTGCCCTTGATCGTGCCAGCTGACACCAACCCCCCCATCCTGGGCACAGTCACGCTTTCCCATGCAGTGGGAGGAACATCATCTTACCCACTGGCCCCCACCCCTCTTCTCCCTCCCACCCGCGTAGAGGGAGACTCAAGCCACACTGCCCTGTTTGCTGCCATGAGCCCCCCTCAGCAATACCCCAGGGGCGGCCCAATGCCCACTGTACATAAGGCTGCATGATGGGTGTGCTGGGGCACTGCTGAGCCCCCAGACCCCCAATTAAATGTTTCTTGTCCCAACCGATCTGCTCTGTGTTATCTGCCTGGGATAGAGCAAGGGGCGGGGCGGGGTGGGGGCTTCGGGCACTGAGAGGGGACAGGCCTGAGGGTGGAAGAACGTGTTGGCCTCTGAAAGACTGTCACTGTCACGGAAGGGGTCCCCAAGCCTCCTCGCTCCCTTTCACTGGAGCAGCCTGAGACTCAGAATCTGGGAGGTGTTTGAGAGAAGGCTCTGGGGAAGGAAAGAAGAGAAGAACGTGGAAAGGACCTGAGTAAAGGAGGGACAAGGGTTTGGGGGACGCTGGAGGGAGGCAGTGTGGGGCTGCGGCCACTTTCTGGTTCCACGTGCACCTGCGTTGCGCAGGGGGCGGACGCACACCTCTGTGCACCAGGCTGGCTCCTTCCCACGCAGCAGTGCCCTCACAGGCCAGCGGGGTCCAGGGTCTGGGGGCTCGATACCCACCCGAGATCAGCCCCGCATCCGCAAACTCCCAACCCCGAAGCACAATCGTTGGCAGCAGGGACAGTCGGGGACAGAGGGGCCCTGAGATGACTCAATCTGCCCGTCATCCAGAGCGTGGCACAAAGCGGCCCGGACGGCGCCCCTCCCGCAGCAGTGCTTGCCGCCCACCTGCTCCGGGCAGCACCGCCTTCCTCCCCTCCGCCCGCCCAGTCCGCGTCAGCGTCACTCGGAGCACGTCCGTGCTATTTATAGGCGGAGGGGAGCCGCGAGCGAGCAAGAGGCGGGCTGTGGGGGTGCCAGGACAACGCGGTGCTGCGGCAGTTCAGTGGGCGGGACCGCTCCTCGGGATAGGCACGCACCAGGCTCTGCTTTCCGGTCCCCCGCGCCCAAGGCAAGGTAGGCCAGGTGGGACCAGGCCCTGAGCTTTCTTTGGGCCCCTCAGCCCATGGAAGGCCTTAGAGCTGGTGAGGAAGGAGAAGGAGGATGACCCCCTCTTCCCAGGACCCCTGATGGTGGGAGTGAAAAAAGGGGTCAGGGACCTGGTCCAAAAGCTTACAAAGGGGGAAACTCACATATACAGGCACTACTGTGTCCCAAAACCAACACAAGAATTTAATTTTATTTAATCTTTTCAATGACCCAGTGAGGAAAGTGCTGGTGTCCCTTTTCACAGGTAGAGAAAACAAGGCCCGGATATACCAGCTGGTAGAGATTATCCTGTTCAACCTTGCCCCTTTTATACATGAGGCCCAGATGGACAAGTAACTTGCCCAAGGTCATCCAGCAAAATAACGGTCCATCCAGGCTCAGATATATCTCTGGCAATTCAGCTCTTCTCCCACTGGACCCTGGGTCTTTCAGTGACTTAAACTAGCAAGATGGAAAGGGAGACACCCTGAGATCCTGGGCCAGGGGCTCTAGGGATCAAGCCCCTGCCCCAATAGAGACAAGTGAGAGCCTTCCGATGAAGCTTTCTGCACACGCCACTTGCGTCTGCCACCAGCCAGCAGCTGGCCGGGAACCCACCCCCTTCCCAGCCCATTTGCTGCACCGCTGAGCACAACAGCTTTTTCGGGTGGCTGAACCACTGACAGCCTGAGAGCTGGGAACAGCTGGTGCCCCCACTGGAGCCTCCGCCCGCCTCTGTGCCCACTCAGGGGTGGGGTTGGACCAGCAACACCATTGGCCTAAGGCAGAGGATGCCCAGGAACCTGCTGGTGGTGCCAACCCACATGTGCCCTCCATCGTCTGACCCACATGTGCCCTCCATCCTCCCACCTCAACCTGTGTTTAACTGTTGGGGATAAAGGTAACCTGGATGTAGGAGAGATGTGAAAAAGGGGGAGTCTGGGAGCCAGATACAGGAGACATAAAAGGGCAGAGAGATGGGTACCAGAAGTGGGGGAGGATGGAGTCACAGCCACAGCCCTCCCCGTGTTTGCTGGGAGGCAGCCTAGGTGGTCCCTCTCTTAGCATCGCAGAGAGCACAGGCAAGGGGCTCAGGGATCCTGTACTCCTTTTCCAGCTCGTGGCCATGCAGCAGCTGCTGTGCGCAATCCCTCTGCTGCAGCCCACCCCAAGTCACACCCACCCCAAGTCTGCAGGAGTCAAAGGTGGGTGCTCGTGTTCATGTGTTCATGCAATGCTGAGGTTCTGGAGAGTCGTTGGCCTCTCTGGGCCTCAGTGTCCTCCTTCAAACATGAAGCTGGACTTGCTCAGGGAGTCTTTTCCTGGGAGCCATGAACCCCTTTAAAGGGTATGCAAAATGACATAATGGGACCAGTTGTATGCTCTTGAGAGAATGGATGTATCTTTTCATAATTTCACAAGTTTCGCCTGACCATTGTGGCTCAATTGGTTGGGCATTGCCTAGCAAAGCAAAACCTTGTTGGTTTGATTCCAGGACAGAGCACATGCCTAGGTTGCAGGTTCTGTCCCTAGTTGGGGCACATGCAAGAGGCAACTGATGGGTGTTTCTCTGCCTCTCTTTCTCTCTCTTATGTCCTCTTTCTAAAAAGAAAATAAAATAGCCCTGGCTGGTGTAGCTCAGTGGATTGAGCAAGGCCTGTGAAGCTGAGGGTCGCCTGTTCGATTCCCAGTCGGGACACATGCCTGGGTTGCAGGCCAGGTCCCCAGTAGGGGACACATGAGAAGCAACCACACATTGATGTTTCTCTCCCACTCTTTCTCCTTCCCTTTCCCTTTCTCTAAAAATAAATAAAATACTAAAGAAAATAAAATAAAGGAAAACGAATTTCACAAGTTTCCAGACCTGGAAGAGACTTGGTGTAGGCAATCTCTTTGCTGGATGGAGAAAGGGGTTTGGTAGGGCCTTCCTAGGCACTGCCCTGGGAAGGAGTTGGAGGCCCATGGTGGAAGGAAGTAACTTCAGGGTCTGGCGTGAGCTTCAGAAAGAAGTAACTAAACCCAAAGCTTCCCAAGAGGTACAGTCCCACAACCCATGACCCTCCCCTTCCCCCCCCCCCAACCCCCAATATCCCCTCAAAATCAACAAGTCAAGTTTTCTGCAGCAGCCCGTGAGAGAACAGCACCATCTCCTGGTCCAGAGTGGAAACCAGTTTCTGTGGTGCACCTTATTCTGTCGTCCCTTCACTGCCGGAAGGGGTTGGAGGTGGAGTGGCCTCCAGTGCCCTTCGTTCTCTGGTCCGTGACTGGGAAGGAGATGTCCCATTCTGCAAGCTGAGATCTTGGCCAAGGCCCTTCCCCTTCTAGACCACAGCCTCTCCACTTGGGATGGCAAAGGATTAGAGCAAGAGCTGTGGCAACGGAACCCACAAATCAGCATTCGTGTCCCAGACTGATGCACGTGGATGGTGGTCTTTTCTGGACATCTTTCACCTCCCCACCATGTCCAACTGGACAAGACCAATTGAGGCAGAGGAGGGGGAAGGGTCTGCTGCCCTCAAGACCACTCTAGTCCTGTTTTTCCCACACAAATGCAGATGAGAACATCTGTCAAAACTACATCCCCTGAAGGCTGTTTGGCTTTGTATTGCTCCCCTGAAATGAGAGTTCCTCAGGAGAGGGGTGAGGGCAGGGAGGTAGCCAGGATGGGCACCTAAGTCCTGGCTGTGTTGAATGTGGACGTGGCCTGTTCTGTGCAAACTTCCCTCCAACTCGGATCCCACCGCAGTTGATGTTTCTGTAGGTAACTGGCTGGCTGACCCCTCCCACCTGGACATCTGGCCCTCAAATTGCTCTTCTAGTCCTGCCCTCCACCTCAACGACCTCCTCACTGCAGGCATATCTTCTGCAGGTCAGGGCCTGGGGACAGAGTTTGACTTCTTCCTCCACAAAGTCTACAAAATCCTCTTCTATTTCCCAAATATTTTGAATTGTTTTCCCGCCCCAAGGCTGCACTAGTTCAAGTCATGTGAATCCAACATCACACTTTCTCTTTGGCAAAACCAACATTTAAGTCTAGAATCTAAGTACTCACCTTACAGAAGATACTTTAATATAAAACTGGTGGTTATTACTATCAGTAATAGTTACAAAATAAAAACCTACTTCCTACTTGTAAAAGGGGTTACTTCATTCAGCTGGTCACAATGGCTGACAAGCTTTTTAAAGTTATGTGCCTTTTTTCCAATTTGAGAAAAGCCTTTTCCTTTATATTGTATGTAATGGGTACAAACCAACCAACCTGACAGGACAGGAAGGAAAAAGGTTTAGAAATTGGGATGCTCAGAACGGCACCATCAGTTACACCCCAGGAACACTGTTCACAGGTGGCTTGGGTGGTCAGCAGCTGGGAGTCCAGGTGTCGTAATTCCAGGACTAGCGGTAATGTAAAGTCCCACTGCCCTAAAGTTCTAGGGCTGTAGATTTCAACCTCGGACCTCCGTGCCCAGTTGGTAAGTGTAGACATTCCATGTGACAACTGATATCACAACCACTGAGTCCCAACCAACATCTGAGATCACTTCCAAGTGGCCACACATATAAGTTGTTCTAAAGCAGTTTTGGAGGCTTGGGTGGAAGCCACTCCTTCCCTCCCTTCAAAGTGAATCCCACACACCACTGAAACAAGGTTAAAAACAAACAAAAACCCTCCCTTTCATAAATGGAGGAGTCGTGAGCCCGACTAGACATCGGGAGAGAAGGAAGAAATGAAACAGACACCCCGGAAAGGGCCTGCACCCCAGTGGGGTCAGCTCTGGCCCTCTAGTGAAAGAAACTGTGGAAGAGAGAAGCAGGCAGATGAGGCTACTTTATTCAATGGCTGATCCATGTAATTGCCAAGGCCACTATGTACAGGTAAGAGAGGGGGAGCTCTATTTCTTGCTCTCTTCCTCCTTGGACAGAGTTTTGATGATTTCCTCCTTCTTGGCCTGGAGTCTCTCTTCCCGGCGCTTGCGAGCTTCCTTGGTCTTAGACCTGCGGGCCTCAGCCTGGTCACTGGGTAACAGAAGGGAAAAGATGGGTGAGTCGGAGGACAGATGAGCTGCTGGGAGATGGACACGCACGCCCAGCTCTCTCTCCGAGTGCAGTCAGCTTGAGACAGGAGTTGCCTCGGCTACCAAGAG